TTGAAGCTTTCGTGACTGCAAGGAATCATATTCTTAGGTTTTTTCGGTAAAGTCACGTAGGTAAAACATCAAAATTAATGAAAATAAAATAAAATAAAACAAAAAAAATTTCATTAATTTTGATGTTTTACCTACGGGGCCATAAATAAATAAAAATATTAAAACACATACATTTTTCACTTGCATAGTTAAGTAAATGTATTTTTTCATTTGCTTTACAGCCAGATAATGACAAACCGCTAACCTTAAACACCCGGTCGTTCATAAAAGTTGAAGGCGGTATAGTACTATAGTAATAGAGCAAGTGCAGAATCACTGAACCGGAATTGATAGCTTGAAAGCATTTAGCGCGGGGGCCCTTGAAAGTGCTGGGCCCGTAACATATGAAGCTACTAAGATAAGTGGGATTTTTTTGATGCGGCTAATCCTGCATAATGCACAGGCATAATATGACTTTGAAACCCCCCGCCCACCTCCTACGCATTTCACAAGTAGTACTAATCACATACCTGCATTTCCCATAAATATGCTAAATTCCTCTTGATATGCAAATTATTTTGTCAAGGCGCCCTTCCCCCCTTCCAACCCAGCTTAAATGTACGCTCCAAGCGTGGTGTTGTTTCATTCAGACGCTGTCTCCCCGACAGACCTGTTCTTCGCCTGAGGACGGCTGCTTGCGTTGTGGCCGAAACGTCGTGAGAATTATTTTATTATGTTTTATTTTTATTCTTTTATTACTTCCCTTCTACGTGACTTTACCGAAAGAACCAAGAAGAAGATAAGTGGGCTTACCACGTGGCAATTAAGAGCAGACTAATCCTCTGCATTGGGGGCGGGTTGAGCCAGATGATTGCGCGATTGATAACGAAGAGCTGGAGTTTAACACGACAGCCCTGTGGGTAGTTATTCCGCTTTCACCAGTTGAACTCTCCCATTCGATAACCTTAGTGAAGTCGTTCCAGGCGATCAATGTTTTTGAAACACGTCCCATGTGACACGCGCTAATCAATTACCGCTGTCTGCGACACGTTTACAAAGATCCCTCCTGATACAGCCTTGAAGGACTGTTGGGATAAGTGCTGTTAGCGAGCGCCTATGAAGGCGCACGAGGGGGTGGGTAGCCAACACCACTCCCAAACAGCCTTTGTCTCCCCAGTGTCGATGTTTAAACACACCGCACCAGCTACTCATTTGAGGCCGAGTCGACCGAGGGGAGGCACCAGGACCGGTTCAGATAATCGTCACTGGTGGTGTTGGCCGTGAGCGGGAATCGAACTCGGGTCGCCAGGTTCGTAGCGCAACGCGCTAACCGCTGCGCCACCGCTCCCCACACGTGTACAGACACGGGCACAATCAACGCAGCAACAATAGCAACTTTACCATAAATATGTTACGTCTATACAACACATAATCAGCAGCAGACATGGTCAATCCACTGCTGAATGAAGACCTCCCCAAGATGCTGCTATTCCTCAAGATCTGCGTTATAATCTAGAAACAGGAACGTACTGATGATATAAACAAAAATTTTAAACTAAAATTTGTTTTTTACCAGGTAAGGACCTCACTGAGATTTGTAGCTATTTTTAGAAGCGACCCGGCCACAAATGATAGCTCAACGAAAGTGGCTTAACACGTGGGAATTCACAGCAGCCAAATAAGGGTCCCGTTCACTCTAAACGTATGGGGGGGGGGGGGGGGGGGGGACCCAGAGAAAATCCACGCGACCACGGGGAGAGTGACAAGTTCGTGTATTAGGTATATAGCCCTGTGAGCCATTCGGCTCTTGAATCGGGTGCAACCGCAACAAACAAAAAACATGAACAAGAATACATCTTATAGTGACTATGTGCAAACAGAAAATCCAAGAAAAGACGACAAAAAAACCACGAAAACTTCAAAAATACAGGCGTCGTAAGAAGGGTCGAGATCGAACCCACGACCTTCTGTGCACCGCGAGAGGTAGTGAACATCTCCTGGGCATCGTGGCGCCCGATATGGTTCATCTTGACACGTACAGTACTTGTTATGTATAACTCGCTCCACGTTACTCATTACCTATAGCGCGTGTCTCAAATACCTGAGTGCCACGTAAATCCAAGTTGTAATAATTTACTTATTTATCCCGGAAAGGCACACGCCGAGTCGCATAATTCTTGTTCGGAAATGTCTCGCCACTGCGTTGGGTTTTTAACTTTAAGATATTCTCAGCTAATTCACGATGCGTGTTTATTATATATTTTTATTATTATTATACACGTCGGAGGAAACCGGAGCGCACGGAGAACACCCCCCTCCCCCACGCGCGCGTGCGAGGGGGAAACGCTATATCCCCGCACAGATGGAATTTTGTTGCTTGGCTCTTCAAGACAACGGCGTGCTGTACTAGTATACTGTACTAGTATACTACACTATACACTACACTATACACTAGTGGTGTACTAGTATACTACACTATACACTACACTATACATTAGTGGTGTACTAGTATACTACACTATACACTACACTATACATTAGTGGTGTACTAGTATACTACACTATACACTACACTACACTATACACTAGTGCTGTACTAGTATACTACACTATACACTACACTATACATTAGTGGTGTACTAGTATACTACACTATACACTACACTATACACTAGTGGTGTACTAGTATACTACACTATACACTACATTATACACTACACTATACACTAGTCATGTACTAGTATACTACACTATACACTACACTATACACTACACTATACACTACACTATACACTCGTGGTGTACTAGTATACTACACTACACTATACACTACACTATACACTACACACGACACTACACACTAGTGCTGTACTAGTATACTACACTATACACTACACTTTGGTTCCACGCGATGATAAGAATCCACTTCGCTGAGCTATAATTTGTGGTAGCCAGATTGCTTCTGAAATAAAGAGAGCTACATAGCTCAGTGGGACCTTAGCTGGTAAAACATCTATTTGTTAAAACACATTGTCCCGCGGAGGGAGCTGGTAGGAACGTTGGGTTGCTCGGTCAATGGCCAGAATCAACGGCGGCGTGGTGTATTCCGCAAATATTCCCGACTGTGAGGGCGGGCACAAGCCGGCGTGAGTAGGTTAAACGTTGAGTTTTATAAGGGCACCACGGGGTGACTAGCCCCTCCCCACCCAGCCTCACCCCTCCCACCCCGCCCCTCCCACCCCCCACCCAGCCCCTCCCCACCCTACCCACCCAGCCCCTCCTCACCCTCCCCACCCAGCCCTTCCCCACCCTCCCCTCCCCACCAGCCCCTCCCTGCACGACGGACGGACGGACACAATAATCCCCTGTGGGCTGGTGTAACCAGGAGGTGCCTACCAGTAACATAGTTGAGTAAAGATACTCCCTGGTAGCTGCTTCTCTACTTGGCCCTCTAGCGGGGAGGGCCCTTCCATCAGCAGGGGCGTGAACGAGAAATTGCAGGGCTGCACCATTAACCTTTCTTGAGGAAAACGTGCTCACGTTTGCACAACGTTGCCCCAACGATGGCATGTGGATGAATCCGTTGAATCAACTTGGGTCTTAGGGACCGTCCATAAATGACGTCACGCGATTTTGGACGATTTTTTACCCCCCCTCGTTACACGGCGTCAGAAAAAGTCAGACCCCCCCCCCCCCTCAAATATGACGTCACAAAGCTCTGGACGGCCCCATGCTTCACCACCAAATCGAGGTACAACAAGAGATGATGGTGCTGCATTGTTCATCTCTGCTGCCGACAATGTAGCACTGGCCCCAGGCAGCCTTTGACAACCGCCCATCCACGCACGTGGCAAGCTCCATGATGCAGCTGCGTTGACAGCAGTGCAATAAAAATTAACCCGTAAAAACAAAGTTTTTCACTATAAATCCTTTATATGCGTGGCGGCTAGAGTCCTCTCGTCCTCTGGCTTGAGATGGCTGCCACCTATGGGTCAGATGATTGCCTGCCACCATTAAGCAATTGGTAATTAAATATAATTTATTTTTTCCTAAAAAGTGTAAAATTTTGGAGAAAATAATTTGTCACGCACAACGAGTCTGTGTGCAAAATTTCAGCTCGATTGGATCACGGGAAGTGGGTTAAAAAAACGACCGAAAGATTTGCACGGTCGTAAGCGCGCAAGCAAGCAAGTGAACTTAATATAAAGGATTTAAAAAGTACACTTCTCATTATTTCGTGCAATTCACAAGGAACATTTCCCGAAACGTCGGCAATTATAGGTTAGATGTTTCATTTGAAGACCACACACACACACAAAGTGTTGTTATTGGCCCAATGTATTGATCGGTTTGCCAGATGTGCAACAGGCATCGGTGCGGGGTGGGGCGGAGGGGAGACAAAGGCGGTCGGGCGTGGTTGCGTCCACGTGCTGAGAAGAGGTGGGTGGGGAGCGGTGGTGCAGCGGTTAGCGCTACGCTGCGCTACGAACCAGGACCACCCGAGTTCGATTCCCGCTTGTGGCCACCAACGGCAGAGACGAAAATTATCATGAACCGGTCCTGGGTCTCCCCTAGGTCGACTCAGCCTCAAGTGAGTGCCTGGTGTGTACTGTGTGAACATCGCCACTGGGGAGACAAAGGCGGCCGGGCGTGGTGCTGGCCACCCACCCCCTCGTGTGTCGTGGTGGCCTTCACAGGCTGATAAGGGGGAGTGAGGGGAGGGGCTGAGGGGAGTGAGGGGAGTGAGGGGAGTGAGGGGAGTGAGGGGAGTGGTTGAGGGGGTTGAGGGGAGTTGAGGGGGTTGAGGGGGTTGAGGGGAGGGGTTGTGGGGAGTGAGGGGAGGGGTTGAGGGGAGTGAGGGGAGGGGTTGAGGGGAGTGAGGGGAGGGGTTGAGGGGAGTAAGGGGAGGGGTTGAGGGGGAATGAGGGGAGGGGTTGAGGGGGTTGAGGGGAAGTGAGGGGAGGGGGTGTGGGGGTGAGGGGAGGGGTTGAGGGGGCGTGGCCGCGTGACGTCACGGTCACCATGGCGCCCCGGGGCGAGGCGTCACGGCCCCGGGGCGGCCGCGAGGAGTGATCCGAGACAGCGCGGGCGGCAACTACAACCTCCTCAACTACAACCTCCACAACTACAGGCAACAACTACAGGCGGCAACAACAACTACAGGCGGCAACAACTACAGGCGGCAACAACCTCCACAACTACAGCCCCACAACTACAGGCGGCAACAACCTCCACAACTACAGGCAACAACTACAACCTCCACAACTACAACCCCACAACTACAGGCGGCAACAACTACAGGCAACAACTACAGGCAACAACTACAGGCGGCAACAACAACTACAGGCGGCGGCAACAACTACAGGCGGCAACAACTACAGGCGGCAACAACCTCCACAACTATAACCCCACAACTATAGGCAGCAACAACCTCCGCAACTACAGGCAACAACTACAACCTCCACAACTACAACCCCACAACTACAGGCGGCAACAACCTCCACAACTACAACCCCACAACTACAGGCGGCAACAACCTCCACAACTACAGGCGGCAACAACATCCACAACTACAACCCCACAACTACAGGCGGCAACAACTACAGGCAGCGGCAACAACTTCCACAACTACAGGCGGCAACAACAACTACAGGCGGCAACAACCTCCACAACTACAACCCCACAACTACAGGCGGCAACAACTACAGGCAGCGGCAACAACTTCCACAACTACAGGCGGCAACAACCTCCACAACTACAGGCGGCAACAACTACAGGCGGCAACAACCTCCACAACTACAGGCGGCAACAACATACTGCTACAGCTACTACTACTACAGCTACTACAGCTACTACTACTACAGCTACTACTACTACAGCTACTACTGCTGTAACAACTACTACAGCTACTACTACAGCTACTACTACAGCTACTACTGCTGTAACAACTACTACTACAGCTACTACTGCTGTAACAACTACTACTACAGCTACTACTACTACAGCTGCTACTACAGCTACTACTACATCTACTACTGCTGTAACAACTACTACTACAGCTACTACTACTACAGCTGCTACTACAGCTACTACAGCCTGACAACTACAGCCACTAACTACAACTACCGCTACAACCTTACCCCCCCCGCCACGTCCGTCTTTGTATCTCCCGATTTGGGGCGTCGCACTTTTGATTAGTGGATGAAGTTGTTATCAATATTAATAACGATAACGGTGTTAATGTTGTTATTTACGTGTTAATTAATTTGTGGCAACGCATTTGTTGTTGTTGTTACAATGACCCACTTTAGTAGCGACGTAATAATGGTCATCTTCAATCGGATTGTTTAGAAGTTAACAACAAATGCAATTGACGTTGTAGTTAACGATACGATTATCATCACAAGCGCATCAAGTTATAATTGTGATGATTCTCATTGTAGTCGGCGTACTTGCTGTCGTTTCAAATTGAATGATTCCGCTTGGGACTTGCTCCACCAGACATCCGATCCATCACAGCGGAAAATTATCACCGTCAATATCATCATCATCATCAATCTCATCATCATCATCATCAATCTCATCATCATCAATCTCATCATCATCAATCTCATCATCATCAATCTCATAATCAATATCATCATCATCAATCTCATAATATCAATATCATCATCAATCTCATCATCATCATCATCATCAATCTCATCATCATCAATCTCATCATCATCAATCTCATAATCAATATCATCATCATCATCAATCTCATAATATCAATATCATCATCATCATCATCATCATCAATCTCATCATCATCAATCTCATCATCATCAATCTCATCATCATCAATCTCATAATCAATATCATCATCATCAATCTCATAATATCAATATCATCATCAATCTCATCATCATCAATCTCATCATCAATCTCATCATCATCAATCTCATAATCAATATCATCATCATCAATCTCATAATATCAATCTCATCATCATCAATCTCATCATCAATCTCATCATCATCAATCTCATCATCATCAATCTCATAATCAATATCATCATCATCAATCTCATAATATCAATATCATCATCAATCTCATCATCATCAATCTCATCATCATCAATCTCATCATCATCAATCTCATAATCAATATCATCATCATCAATCTCATAATATCAATCTCATCATCATCAATCTCATCATCATCAATCTCATAATATCAATCTCATCATCATCAATCTCATAATCAATATCATCATCAATCTCATCATCATCAATCTCATCATCATCAATCTCATCATCATCATCATCAATCTCATCATCATCAATCTCATCATCATCATCAATCTCATCATCATCATCAATCTCATCATCATCAATCTCATCATCAATCTCATCATCATCATCAATCTCATCATCAATCTCATCAATATCATCATCAATCTCATCATCAATCTCATCATCATCAATATCATCATCAATCTCATAATATCATCATCATCATCAATCTCATCATCATCGATCTCATCATCAATCTCATCATCATCATCATAAGCCAACATAATCATTACAATCATCATCATCATCAGTTCGTATCCACGACTATGAGACACCCCGCGGCATGCGCGCTGCCTGCCACTGTGAAGTGATGACAGGGCAGCAGCAGCAGCAGCCAGGGCAGCAGCAGCAGCAGCACAGCTGCCCCGGGACTGCCCCTGGGACTCTCCTCCTCCTGCTGCTGCTGATGATGATGACGCTGATGATGGTCGGGATGGCGCCTCCAGTAGCTGCTGTGGGCAGCACGGGGAGTCTGAGCTGCCCCGTCGCCTGCACTTGCCGCTGCCCTCTGCCCCCGCTGCTGCCCGCGGAGTGTTCGGTGAACTGCACGCTGGGAGAACTGCAGCGGCTGCCCCCTCTACTGCCCGACAACACCTCGTCACTGTGAGTGTGATGGGCAGCGTGTCGCGGACAACACTGACACATCAACACTGACTCACCAACACTGACACATCAACACTGACTCACCAACACTGACACATCAACACTGACACATCAACACTGAGACATCAACACTGAGACATCAACACTGACTCATCAACACTGACTCATCAACACTGAGACATCAACACTGAGACATCAACACTGACTCACCAACACTGACTCACCAACACTGACACATCAACACTGACACATCAACACTGACTCATCAACACTGACTCATCAACACTGACTCACCAACACTGACTCACCAACACTGACACATCAACACTGACACATCAACACTGACACATCAACACTGACACAGCAGCACCTCCTCACTGCGAGTGGGCTCTGGGTGTGATTGTTGCGTGCCAGGGTCACCACTGACCACACGTGTGGCCACACCGTCACAACAATCACACCAATGCTCACGCACACACACCAGCATGTCAACACTGACACCAACGCTGACCACCAGCGCTGACACCTTGAAAGATCTGGGCAAAGTCCCATCGGTGAGCTCCGGCAGGCAAGGCTGCGTTGGCTGGGTCATGTAGCCCGCATGCCCAGCCACCGCATGCCTAAACAGCTTTTGTTCGGCCGGATCGAGGGGGCTAAACGGGCGCGGCACGGGCTAGAGAAGAGATGGAGTGATGTGGTACAGGAGGCACAGGCTAGAGAAGAGATGGAGTGATGTGATACGGGAGGATGTGGAGCTGAGTGGACTTGCCGATGACTGGTACCAGCGGTGTCAAGATCGGCCTCAGTGGAGGAGGCTCGTGAAGGACGCTACTGGGCAGTTGGAGGCAGTCGCTCACAACAACGAGCGGAGCGCCGCCGGGTGGCTAAAGCACAGCAAGTTGGTACAGGTGGTGCATCAGCCAGTCATCTCGGTCATCTCAGTCAGTCGACCCGTGGCACCTGCAGGGTTTGTTCCCTGACCTCCTGCCAGCGAGCGTGCGACACTTCACGTGGCCTCAAGGTGCACTTGGCCTGGCACAGGCGCCGTGGTGACGTCACAGTCACTTAGTGGCGATCAGCGGTTGTTGTTGTTGTGTTGTCAGTGTTAACATGTTAGTGTCATTGGTGTCAATGTTAACATGTCAGTGTTAACATGTTAATGTCATTGATGTCAGTGCTGGTGTCAGTGTTAACATGTTAATGTCATTGATGTCAGTGCTGGTGTCAGTGTGAACATGTTAGTGTCATTGGTGTCAATGCTGGTGTCAGTGTTAACATGTTAGTGTCATTGGTGTCAATGCTGGTGTCAGTGTTAACATGTTAATGTCATTGGTGTCAGTGCTGGTGTCATGTTAACATGTTAGTGTCATTGGTGTCAGTACTGGTGTCATGTTAACATGTTAGTGTCATTGGTGTCAGTGTGAACATGTTAATGTCATTGGTGTCAGTGTTAACATGTTAGTGTCATTGGTGTCAATGTTGGTGTCAGTGTTAACATGTTAATGTCATTGGTGTCAGTGCTGGTGTCATGTTAACATGTTAGTGTCATTGGTGTCAGTGTTAACATGTTAGTGTCATTGGTGTGAGTGCTGGGGCCAGAATTGGGCACGACGGCATGGTGGTGGTCAGCGTCCACGCGTTGGTCGCGGTTGCTGAGAGCGTGGCCCGTGTGAGAGAGAGACACATCGCTCCGCTGTGAGTGTTGGCGGGCTCTCTCTCCGCTTCCATCGCGTTCTTCCTTCTCGTCATCTTGGGCAAGCCCGGCTCGTGGGTTCCTACTGAACCGCGTCATGGAGGGAGGGTCCTGCTTGATCGCAATGTTTCAAGTGGTGGTGGCGGTGGTGGTGGCTTTGGCGGTGGTGGTGGTGGCGTAGGTGGTGGTAGCGATGGTGGTGGTCTTGGTGGTGGCTTTGATGATGGTGGTGGTGGCGGTGGCAGTTGGTGGTGGGGGTGGTGGTGGCTTTGGTGGTGGTGGCTTTGGTGGTGGCGGCAGCAGTTGGTGGTGGTGGGGGTGGTGGTGGCTTTGGTGGTGGTGATGGTGGTGGTAGCAGTTGGTGGTGGTGGGGGTGGTGGTGGCTTTGGTGGTGGTGGATGGTGGTGGCCCGGTGGTGGTGACGGCAGCAGCGGTGGCGGCGGTGGTGGTGAGGGGGAGGCGGCAGGCTTATGATTAACCTATTCAAAGTAAGTTCTGGTCACCGCTTCCAACCCCCGACCAACCCCCACCGCACGAAGCGATGCAGCCAAATACACCGGTGCAGAGAGCTCTGCGATGGGTCCATCGTGTCGTGCGCGTGTTGCTGTACGTACGTCAAATTTCTTTCACAGCGTAGTAGGCAACCGTGCTAATCGGAGGTGCGGGGGAAGGACAACAAATTAAATACAAAAATTCGTTCTAAAGAAATTCTTTTCAATCTAGATTTAGTGGCTTCCTAATATCGGACGGAAGAGCATTCCAGACGGCCGCAGGACACGGTCAGATCTTGCAGGATACGGTGAGATCTTGTAGGACACGGTCAGATCTTGTAGGACACGGTCAGATCTTGTAGGACATGGTCAGATCTTGTAGGACACGATCAGATCTTGCGGGACACAGTGAGATCTTGTGGGACACGGTCAGATCTTTTAAGACACGGTCAGATCTTGTAGGACACGGTGAGATCTTGTAGGACACGGTCAGATCTTGTAGGACACGGTGAGATCTTGTAGGACACGGTGAGATCTTGTAGGACACGATCAGATCGTGTAGGACACGGTCAGATCTTGTAGGACACGGTCAGATCTTGTAGGACACGGTGAGATCTTGTGGGACACGGTCAGATCTTGTGGGACACGGTGAGATCTTGTGGGACACGGTCAGATCTTGCAGGACACGGTGAGATCTTGCAGGACACAGTCAGATCTTGCGGGACACGATCAGATCTTGTAGGACACGATCAGATCTTGTGGGACACGGTCAGATTTCGTGGGACACGGTCAGATCTTGTAGGACACGATCAGATCTTGTGGGACACGGTCAGATCTTGTAGGACACGATCAGATCTTGTAGGACACGGTCAGATCTTGTGGGACACGGTCAGATCTTGTAGGACATGATCAGATCTTGTGGGACACGGTCAGATCTTGTAGGACACGATCAGATCTTGCAGGACACGGTCAGATCTTGCAGGACACGATCAGATCTTGCAGGACACGGTCAGATCTTGTAGGACACGATCAGATATTGTGGGACACGGTCAGATCTTGTGGGACACGATCAGATCTTGTGGGACACGGTCAGATCTTGTAGGACACGGTCAGATCTTGTAGGACGCGTCACGACACGTGCCAAATGATTTTGTGCACGGTGCAGCTTGGTATAATGTTAAATGGCTGAGGTGCTCGCTAACAACACTTGCCGCCCAGGCAGTCCTAACGCTATACGGGGGAGCTTTGTCTTTGTCGTGTGCGTGCAGCTGGCTGAGCTAGGAACCCGGCGACCCGAGTTCGAACCCCGCTCGTGGCCCCCAACACCACCAGTGACGGACTATCTGAACCGGTCCTGAGTCTTCCCTCGGTCGACTCAGCCCCAAATGAGTTGCCTTGTGCGGTGTGTAGACATTACCACTCTCGGGATGGTGTTGGCCACCCACCACCCGCTCACGTGCCTTGCCCCGGCATTCATAGGTCGTTGCTTGCTCACAGCACTTCCCCCAAATGTCTGTGAAGGCTGCACTGGGAGGGGGGGGGTGGGATCTTTTTCTTGTTTGTGTGCAGGCTGACAAGAGGGGGGGGGGACATTGTGCTGGCCTTCCTGAGAGGTCATTGACTCTCGTTACACGGTACAGGAAATGCGTACACGAGATTCCTGTGTGCCTCTGTTTATGGGGTCGTCCATAAATGACGTCACGCAATTTTGGACGATTTTTGACCACCCCCACCCCCACCCTTCGTCACACGGCGTCATAGAAAGTCAGACCCCCCCCCCCTCAAATATGACGTCACAAAGCTCTGCCCCCCCCAAAATAAAACATGCTTCAAATCGCTTTAAACTATTGTCATTGTAGTGCGTATTTAATGTGGCGCTGCAGTCTGGTGTTGTAGGAGAAAACATTTATTAAAAAGTCTATTTAATTAAGTAGAACGTGTTGATGTGACGTCAAATTTCTCTACACTAGTAGTGTAGTAATGTGTAGTAGTGTGTAGTGTAGTAGTGTATAGTAGTGTTGTAGTGTGTAGTAGTATAGTAATGTATAGTAGTGTAGTAGTGTATAATAGTGTGTAGTAGTATAGTAGTGTTTTGTAGTGTAGTGTATAGCAGTGTATAGTAGTGTATAGTAGTGTAGTGTATAGTGTAGTAGTGTATAGTAGTGTAGTAGTGTATAGTGGTGTAGTAATGTATATCAGTGTAGTAGTGTATGGTAGTGTAGTGTATAGTGTAGTGTATAGTAGTGTAGTAATGTATAGTAGTGTATAGTAGTGTAGTAGTGTATAGTAGTATAGTGTATAGTAGTGTAGTGTATAGTAGTGTAGTGTATAGTAGTGTAGTAGTGTATAGTAGTGTAGTGTTTAGTGTAGTGTATAGTAGAGTGTATAGTAGTGTAGTGTATAGTGTAGTGTATAGTAGTGTGTAGTAGTGTGGTAGTGTGTCGTAGTGTAGTGTATAGTGTAGTGTATAGTAGTGTACAGTGTAGTGTATAGTAGTGTAGTGTATAGTGTAGTCGTGCTTGAGTCCGTCGCCAGGGACAGGCAGGTCTGGACTTCCGTACTCAACACGCTGCTGCCGCCGCGACCTTCGCCAGGCCAAGCGGATTGAGGAACGCACGAACCAACGAACCAACGCGTAGATTGTTAAATATTTCTGGTAAAATTTTGGCAAAAACATCCCGGATGCTGAAACATAGCCCCACGTTGGGGTTGAGCGGAGCGCGTTGGAGCGCTTGGGGATCAGCGATTGCACTTTCACCAAAAGTGGGTCTCGGCGGTGCCACGCCAGATGAAGTGTATCGGTGTCGTGGGTCACC